AAAAAAAGAAGTACAAATTGCCAGTTATAAAAATAGTCACAGGGATATAAGTACAGCATAGGGAATATAGTCAATAATATTGTAATAACTATGACTGGTATAAAATGGGTACTAGATTTATCGGGGTGATCACTTTGTAAACGTATATAAATGTCTAATCACTATGCTGTACACATGAAACTAACATAATATTGTATGTCAACTGTAATTAAAAAATAAATTTTAAGGAAATAAATAAATGGCTTAACATTTTTAAAAAATGGATAGTGGGCCGGCCAAGTGGCTCAGTTGGTTAAAAGCGTGAGCTCTGAGCAACAGGGCCGCCAGTTCGATTCCCACATGGGCCAGTGATGCTGAGTCCGAGCTGAGCTGCCACTGAGTTGCCAACAGGTGGCAGGATGGCTCAGCTGGAGAGAGCATGTGCTTCTAACAACAAGACTGCCTGTTGGATGGTGGCTATGTCCACCCACAACTAAGACTGAACTTGGCACCTTGAGCTGAGCTGACGCCAGGATGGCTCAATGGATAGAGCATGTACTCTTAACAACAAGGCTTCTGGTTCAACTCCCTCATGGGATGGTGGGTATGCCCACCCACAACTAAGACTGAACACAGCACCTTGAGCTTAGAGACCACGAGCTGCCAACGGGTGGCCAGATGGCAACTGGCCCCCCCCCCCCCGAAAAAAAGGATATACCGTAACCGTGTTTTGTAAACCATACAGGTTCTCCTCTGAATGTAAGAGGTTAGCATTGTTTCCCAATCCCACATGAGCTACTCCTTCTCCTACTCTCTCCCTTCAACTCACAGAGCCAGTGCAACCTAAAACCAAACTGTATGTCGTTGACTTCATGGGAGTTGTTTTTTTCCATGCAACTGAACTATTTCATCCTAAGAGGTGGAGAACTCATTGTATGCCTCCCCTATATACACTCCATTACTTAGCAAAAAGCACAGCATATAGTAGGTGCTCAATAAATGTTTGCACACTAAATGACCTTCGACAAATGCTTGTTAGCTGAATAATACCTCCAGCTTATCTTTTTCTTCCTAATGGAAGCTGGTACTGATCATTCATGAACTTGCAATGTTCTCACCTTCTTGGGAGTGATTAAAATTTGTGACCACAAAAACAAATATAAGCCTTTAAAATCAGAAATGGGGTATACCTTTAGGACTTGTGTGTTTCCACAGAACTTTTCAGATGTTTGAGTACTGGCCCAATATAAACCTGCCAATTTCAGGGGCAGTGGGGAGTAGAACAAAGAAGATTTGGAGCTATCTCACTAAGGGTCTAGTCCTGTCTCTAGTACTTGTTAGTTTCAGAGCCTCAGTATCCTCATGTATCAAATAGAAAGAATGGCAGTCTATCTCACAGTTATTGTGACCCTTAAGCAAGATGAGGAATGCCAGAACGTTTTTTATTTGTTTGTTTTTAGCTCTAAGTAACATTAATTCAACAACCATTTATTGAGCACCAAATCTGAGCCAGGCAATGTGTTAGATGCTGGGGATACAAGGATGATTCTCTCCAAGAACTTAGCTCATGTTTAAAAGGAACCAAACTAAGACACCAATTAAAATGCAATCTGATAAGGGCCAGGTAATGATACATGTGAAGATGATGGGCTCTGGGGCAGCAGAGAGGGGCTCATCGCCCTGTCTTTCCTCTGAGGTTGGCAAGAGAGGGCAGGGATTGTCAGTGGTCACCAAGGAAGAAGCCCCAGGAGGAAGTCATATTTAAGTGTACTTATCAGATGCCCAGCAGTTGGACAGGTAAAGAAGGTAAAAGAGGAACATTCCAGATAATGAAAACAAGAGACGTTTCATTCATTCATAAATTCAATGAACATGAATTGGGCACATGACAGGCGAGGAACTCTAGGAAAATACAGATAAACAAGATGTGAGCCTTGCTCAGGGGGCACACCTTTTCCACACAAGCAGCCAGCCAGGTAAAGGCACTTGTAATTCAGTCTAGTTAGTACAACAATCAGGGTAAGCTCAAGGTTGCCCCTCATACTGGCAAATTCAAAAAACTTCAGGTAGCTTACTATGATTTCTAAGCAGAGGGCATATGGAGTGAGATGAGGCTGGAGAGAGGGCCAAAAGGCAGAGTGTGGGGGTGGGGAGAGCAGCTTCCTTTCCCGTATTAGTCATGTGACCTTGCACTGGTTACTTAACCTCCTCAAAGCTCCAAACCAGAGAGAATAATAAAAACTACACCAAGAGGTTGTTGTGCGGATAAAATGAAGTGATGGGTATAAAGTGCTCACTATAGTACCTGGAATGTTATTAGTGCCCAAGAAACGTTGGCTGCCATTATCATTATCATCATAATCATCATCATCATCATCATATTATTATTATTTTTATTATTATTATTGCTGCTGCTGCTGCTGTTGCTATTGCTGTTATCAACTTAACTAAGGGCAATGTGAACAACTTAGGGAAAAGGAAGTACAATTGTTCTCAAGCTCTTAACTTGCTGAAGTCCTTAACAAAGCAAAGGCAGGTCAGGATGTATTCTATGTCATCCTTTGTCCTAGCCCAGGGCTTCTCAAAATCTTACATAGAAAGAACCCTAACTAGAAAGGGAGTGAGTGAATATTCCCATGTGGTACCTCCTTAATTGACTTTGACTTTTAAATATATTTTATCTTAGAAATTCACTCTCCTCATTTCTGTCATCGTCATTATCATCACCACCACTAAGGAAAAACAGTGCTTACTCATTTCCAGGCACTGCTATGATGTTTTTTAAGCACAAACTCGTTTCATCCTCACAACAACCCTATGGAGATAGGTACAATTATCATTCCCATTTTACAGATTAGGAAGCTCCTAAGAAACCTTAAGTAAGTTGTCCAAGATGACAAGCTAATAAATGTTGGGATTGGAATGTGGACCCAGGCAGCCTAGCTCTAGAACCACTATTCAATTGTTGTTACCTCTCTAATATAAAAATGCCTCCCTCCTTAAATCCCAAACAAGCAATGAGCTGCGAGTAGCTGTGTCTTGCTCACCTTATGGCTTCAGGCCCATAGACACACAGCCAAACGCCATGTGTGGGGAACAGCCTAAGACCCAATAGCTTTCTCCAGGCTTGTATAGGGACATAGCCTCTCTAAGGACAAATGCCCACAGCAGTCATGTGGCTGAGGGACTCAGGCAGATGACATGTTGGCTGCCACTGGGAGATGATTAAAAATCTACCATTAAACCAAGCTGTACTTAGAGCAGACCTCTTTTAAAGTAGCTTTTCATCAGGGGATTATATTTTCTTCTTGACAATTTCCTTAATGGCAAGAAAGGCTATATGTTAGGAGAACAAAGGAGACCCAAGGGCAATGAGTGGAAGATTCTCACCAAGGTGGGGCTGGGAGGAAGGCGGAGAATTAAACAGGCAGAAGAGAAGATGTGCTCCCTCTTTTATTCCTATACGACGCCCCAGAGCCGCCCACCCCCATCTCCTCTCTCTACCTCCTTCTCTAGGGGCACTAACGGCAGCCCAGAGCTCATTAAAGTTTAAACAGATTGATCAATAGGGACAGAATGGTGAATTGTCCATCTGCAAATTACCAAGCCCTTCATGAATATTTAAGGAACTAAACTAGGAGAAGGAGAAGACACAACCCAGCACTCCATTTTTCCCTCTGGAAAAAAAAAAGGAGAAAAGAATGTTTGTCATTTCTGATCACCAGGATATAAAAGCAAACAGTCAAGTGAAACTACAAACGAACACGTCTTGGCCAGTGTCACTCCCTTATCCAAGCCAGCAAGCTGACTCCAATCCAATGGCACTCAAGAGCAACATGTGCCTGGCGCAATTCAGAGATGCTCTAGTCAGGCCCAGCTTCCTGGCTTTCTCAAAACACACCATGTTCTCATGCCACGGTGCCTTTGCACCTGCTGTTCCCACTGAACAAAACGAGGTTCCCCTCACTTGTCCACATGGAAGGCAGCACAGTCCAGGGACCAAGGATGCAGCACTGGAGTCAGACTGCTTAGGCTCCAGTCCTGTCTCCGCTACTTACTAACTCAGTAAGCTCCCTGACCTTTCTGTGCCTCTGTTTCCTCCTCAATAAAACAGGGGTAGGAATAGTACCACCTTTACAGGGTGGCGGTGAGGATTCAACTACACGATGCATGCTAACACATTGTACCCCATGCTGGGAACACATGAAGACACAGATGTTAGCTATGGTTACCAGTGACTTCCACATTCGGTCACGCCTGACAGAATCCTGTCTGCTGTTACATCCTCTGTCTAGTCTACCCCAGCCCCTCAGGGTTAACCTTTTCCTCAGCCCCAGCCACAGCCACTGGGCTCCCATCACCTTTCACATCGTATTTTGGCCGTCTATTGGTCTCTGTCAGCACTACACGATGAGTTCCGGCAGGGCAAGGCCTGTGTCTAAAGTCACCCCGGTGTTGTCCCTGGCACCAGGTAGACACACAACACACACTCAGCAGGTGGGGGCAGGGAAGAATATGCAAGGCAGGAGTGTGCCGCAGTTGTGGCTGTACCTTTGTGACAACACAGCACGCGGCCCAGATGTCCTCGGAGGACTGCTCATGGTGGTTGAACTCAGGCTCCCACTTGTGAATTGGCTGGTCTGCAAAAGCCAAAAGGATGCCCCTCTGGTCCACCAGCGCTGCACGGACACTGCCTGTTCCAACGTCCACGCCCACATAGTAGCGCCCTGGTTCCTGATCTCCACCAGGCATTGTGTTCCCTCCACCTGCAGCGATCAAGGGTAAAAGCCACATGAAGACCAGGTGGGTCTGCAAAGTCAGGCACAAGACATCTTGAAAGTGGGAGTAAAAGAGGTGCAGCTAACTGACTGGTCATCTTCTATTATTTATTCACCCAACAAAAAGGTTGAGTGCTAACAATATGCTAACAGGCACTGAGCTAGGTGTTGGGTGAACCAGACAGACATGGCCTCAGACGTGGAATTTCCATTCCTGGAAGGGAGTCAGATGTTAAGTATTTACGAACCTTAAGGAAAGTCATAATATAGGGTACAAAGTGCTACATGGGTAAATAAAGGGTTGGAGGAGAACTGAGATTCTAGAAGTAATTGATATGCATTCATTTTATTTATTTATTTATTTATTTTTTTACCTCTCCTTCGATCCTGGGCGAGCCCCCAAATGATATAGGATATTTGTTGTGCTAGGGTCATGGTCTCGTGGAACCGAAGTATGGAGACACCAACCAGAGAGGTCAAGTTGCATAAAAGGAGTTTATTAGAAGTAAAAATACATTTCAAAGAAGCAGAGGCAGCCCAAGCAGTGGAGAATGGCTCAAGGGCCATTATTAGAAAAGAAAGTACACGCCAAAGAGTTTGGAGAGGGCTGAGCAAAGGAAGCTCAAAAGGCCCAAGGGGACCCAAAGCCAGGGAGTCATTATTAGGAGAAAAAGTACTCTCCCAAGAATTTGGAGCGGGCCCCGAGCAGAGGCAAGGCTCAAACTGCTCAAAAGGCCTCGAAATGCATTTATTCTCATTGAATTTGTCAAAACAAGGACAGTGGCCATGGTACTGAAAAGGAACCTCATCTATCCAAGCATTTATTCAAAGTGCCCTTTGCTAGATGACTGGATAAAAGAAGTTGTGGTATATATACACAATGGGATATTATTCTGACATAAGAAAAGATGAAACAGTGCCATTTGTGATAACATAGATGAATCTGGAGATTATAATGTTAAGCAAAATAAGACAGACAGGAAAAGTAGAGAATTATATGATTTCACTGATATGTGGTATATAAAACTGAAAACAACAAAAGAACAAGAAAAACAATTGAAGAAACAAAAACTCATAGACACAGGCAACAGTTTAGTGGTTACCAGAGGGTAACCAGAGGTGGGTGGCATATGAGGGTAAAGGGGATCAACTATATGGTGATGGAAGGAGAACTGACTCTGGGTGGTGAGCACACAATGTGATATATAGATGACGTATTACAGAATTGTACGCCTGAAATCTATGTAACTTTTTCTAACAATTGTCACCCCAATAAACTTTAATTTAAAATAAAATAAAATAAAATCATTCTCTACTGAGCACTTATTATGCGCAAAGCAGTGTGAAAAGTACAAACCTCCCCTCTACTCCTCACTAGGACTCTGCATGGTGAGTGCATTTAACTCTCTCTGTTACTGGTGACAGTCACGTAGGGGAGACTCTAAGAGGCACGGAACTTTTCTCTTCGCTTTAGGTCTACCTGGGTAAGAACAGGCAGTGTACGATGATGCACATTATACTGCTGGGGAAACTGATCTCTGAGGAGTTAAGGGATTTAGCCAGCATCCCTCAGGAGCAGCCTAGACCCACAGTCCCACATCCGTGAGCTCCCAAGTCTCATGCTCTTTCCTGTCTTTGTTAACAGCTGGCAGGACAGGTTTGGAGAAGAGACAAATATACTGCAGCCCTGTCATAAAGTGACTGAGAATTGGAACACAGCCTCCAGGGAGACAGGCTCAGGAGTTTGTTAGAGAATCTGTTTTCCTTACAGACCCCTTGTGAGTTACAAGGAAATCTGACCACAGAACACTCAGGAATTCCTTGGCCTTCATTGCCGCTCCAAGTCCCTTTGGTCAGATCAGCCCACAGGACACAGAAATCTCAAAGAGGCTTTCATTTTGCAGATTGGCCTTTCAGAGAATGAGAACAAGCCCCCGAGACAGCCATGCTGGTGAACATGCTACAACTTCCCAGGTGAGCTCAGGTGTTAGCACCCAGCATCTAATTTCAACCGCAGCACCATTCTGTGCCCTTCCACTTCAAAAAGGTAATGTTTCCTAGGCAAAGTCACCCTGGGGGATTCTAACACGAAGTCAGACGGCAGATGTCCGGTTACTGCTTCCGGGATATTTATCCCAGTCAAAAAAACAGCTTCATCAGAAGTGACTGCTTCTGACTTCATCACAATGATTTCCCAACTGTGTCTGCCCCCTTTGGCTTGCTGGCTCATGGCAGTTGGGAGAGGAATACAGGACAGCTGTAGCAAGTACATCTGCTGCCTGCATCTGAGTCTCAGAGGCAACTCCCAGACTCCAGCCTACCGCTTTTTCATCTTCTCTCCCTCTCTCACAGCCCTCTGGGAGCTCCACAGGACCAGTGGCACCAGTTTTCAAACCATGCATTCCTTCATTCATTCCACAGAAATACCTTTTATTCAACCCTTCATTCAAAGAAAATTTAAATAAAACAGATCAAAGCAGGGCTGCTCTATTTGAGGCAAAGATCACCTTTGTCCGATCCTCCCCCCCCCCCCCCAGCAGAACCTCTGTGTTCAGGAAGGCTGAAAAACACTGGATTAGGGCTGTGATACAACCTGAGGCCCTCAGCATAGCATCTCAGGCCTCCACGAGCTTCCCTCTGCCTGCTTTCCAGCTGTGTCTAACGCTGTCCTGCCCATTCTCACACCCAGCTCGAGGCATCCCCAAACTCCTCTCAGGTTCTCAGCTGCATCCACTGCTGCAGGACCAACTGCCCCATCACTCAGGCTCTTCCTAACTCCTTCCTCTCCTGTCTGCCTGCTGACCATGGACTTACACTTTAAGTTCCAAACCATCACCTCTCCAGGGACTACATCCTGCCCTTCTCTGTCTCTTGGTGCTACCAGCGGATCATGCCCCTTTCTTTAAAAAGTTACCACTCAGAATTGTGGTTTTTTTATTTTCTTTCTGTGTCTGTTTCTTTTACTGGCCTGAATCTGGGAGAGAGAGAAAAAAAGAACTTATTGATTTCTGCATCTCCTGCTCCTAGCAGTGTCTGATTCTTAATTGGTTTTCAATAAGTGTTTTCTGAATGAACTACTGCATCAGTGAATCAATAGACAACAAGGATAAATAGGTCCATGTTTTAATAGTTTGAATTCCTAAGTTTGTACTTATATGCGCTAGTGCTTTGCCTTGATTCTGATTTCTGCATGCTTCATTCATTGAACTAACAAATATCTGGATGCTTTTAACCACATTTTCTTAATGCTAAGACACTCATTCTTTCACATTTAGCTTCTCTAAAATCTGACAACCAATGGCATCCTGCAATTAATTAGTAGCATGTTCTTTCTTAGTGGTATAAGAAATAATGTTGCATCTTGAATGACATACAAGATTTAAAGAAACGCAGAATGGGCCAGACACCAGGCGCCCTAGGAGCTCAGGATACAGGGATGGACAAAACAGGACAGTACATTGGCTCAGTTTCTTTATCTGCAAATAGGAGGAAGACTGACCAAGCTATGCGCTCCACCTCTCCTCTACTGACCATACACGCACCTTCCTACTTTACTTGGGATCCCCTCTTAGCTTCCCAGTGTCTTCACTGTGAAGAGCCCCATGGGTGCTGCTCAACACTGAGCTTAGCATCTTGCTGACCTTGGCTAGAATATTCCAAGACTATGCTAAACACATAGTGGGGGAAACAAGGAAATAAATAGAGAATGAAGAATCTATCTAACTTACACAGACCTAGGCAGCCCTCATCCAGGCTTCCCCCACTCCTGCCAGCCTCAATGACAAGAGGGCTGGGGACCCTGGGGGATGGCCCAGCTGCTCATGCCTGGGTTCCCCATGGAGAGGAAGGCTCGCCGTCTTCCTCTGCAGGGGTATACCATCTTACCACCCCCCATCCTGACATCCTGATTTATTTCCAGTAAAATCCAAAGAGGCAGATTTCCACTCTGCAGCCAACCCCGGGCTTACCCCAGTTCTGGTTTTTGGATCCATCTCTTTGCTAAACAGGAAAGAGCCCACCCTTCAGAGAATCCCCAACCTCACACATGGAAAGTGGAGCTTCACCATTAGACTGTTAACTCCACAGCTGCCCAGGTCACAGCCGTATCCCCAGTGCCAGCACAGTGCCTGGCACACAGCAGGAACTTGACAAGGCTCCGCGACTCCGTGGATTCCTGAAACACCTATGATTAGGGAATTACTGTGGATCCTGACGCCCTGCGAAGCGACCTGTTTACATCACCACCTTTCATTCTGACTGAGCCCTAGAAGATAACTGCTACTATCATCCCCATTTTACCGATGCAGAAAATGAGTCCTAGACAGGGGAAGTAACTTACTCCAGTATGTTTTACAACCAGTAAGTACTAGAGGTAAGAGCAATCCCATTCCCTCTGGCTCCAAAGCCACTGACAGCTCCCAGGACGCTACCCTGCCTGATACTCCTCCGCCATTAAATGCTATTGGCCAAGGGCTCTGCGAGGTGCCCCTGCCTGCTTTGCCTAAGACTGGCTAACTCAGAACTCAGGCTGGCCACATGCAGAGACGGACCCTTCCCAAATGCCGGGCCGCCTCTCTCTGGCAAACCACCCATTTCTAGACCATATTACCGAGGTATCAGTCAGGAAGAGAGTCAGGGGACAAGCGTGTCATATGCTCCAGCATCGTTCGTACACACTTCCCAGTTCATGTTTTTCTAAGAAATAGACCCTAATTAAATATTTCAGGTTCACATTTCCCATTATTATAGTTTTAAGTGAGCTCTTTCGATTGTTGTCACACCTGGACCCTGAAAGCCGCAAAGCAGGGAAGTTCAAGCCAGCTTCCCTGAAACTCGACCCTGTGAATTACAAAAACACCAGCAGAGGGTTTTCTGCAACTCGGGGCACTGGGCTTCCCGCTTTGTGCCCTTTGTTCCTGGGTCACAAGTGCCACCTTCTGTGTTCTGGACTCCACACCGTATTCCAGTTCCTCTTGGCCTCAAAAATA